AGGCCTACCTGCAGTCACGAAAGCTTTAAATCGAAAATTAAATCGAAATTTGAGTCTGAGTCTCTGTATCTATGGGTGTGTGAATATCTACGAGTGTACACGCGAATCCATGGGTCTCTATGCGAGTCTACGAGTCTCTACTTGTCTATGGGTCTCCGTGTGTGAATCTACGAGTCTCTACGCGAGTCTATAGGTCTCTGTGCGAGTTATCAGAGACCAGGCCTTGACCATCACCTTTCTGTGCGCGTATGTGGGTCTCTGTGCAGGCCTATGGGTCTCTGTGTGAATCTACGAGTCTCTACGTGAGTCTATAGGTCTCTGTGCGAGTTATCGGAGAGCAGGCCTTGACCATCACCTTTCTGTGCGCGTCTGTGGGTCTCTGTGCAGGCCTATGGGTCTCTGTGTGAATCTACGAGTCTCTACGTGAGTCTATAGGTCTCTGTGCGAGTTATCGGAGAGCAGGCCTTGACCATCACCTTTCTGTGCGCGTCTGTGGGTCTCTGTGCAGGCCTATGGGTCTCTGTGTGAATCTACGAGTCTCTACGTGAGTCTATAGGTCTCTGTGCGAGTTATCGGAGAGCAGGCCTTGACCATCACCTTTCTGTGCGCGTCTGTGGGTCTCTGTGCAGGCCTATGGGTTTGTGTGAATCTAGGAGTCTCTACGCGAGTCTATAGGTCTCTGTGCGAGTTATCAGAGACCAGGCCTTGACCATCACCTTTCTGTGCGCGTCTGTGGGTCTCTGTGCAGGCCTATGGGTCTCTGTGTGAATCTACGAGTCTCTACGTGAGTCTATAGGTCTCTGTGCGAGTTATCAGAGACCAGGCCTTGACCATCACCTTTCTGTGCGCGTCTGTGGGTCTCTGTGCAGGCCTATGGGTCTGTGTGTGAATCTACGAGTCTCTACGTGAGTCTATAGGTCTCTGTGCGAGTTATCGAAGAGCAGGCCTTGACCATCACCTTTCTGTGCGCGTCTGTGGGTCTCTGTGCAGGCCTATGGGTTTGTGTGAATCTACGAGTCTCTACGTGAGTCTATAGGTCTCTGTGCGCGTTATCGGAGAGCAGGCCTTGACCATCACCTTTCTGTGCACGTCTGTGGGTCTCTGTGCAGGCCTATGGGTCTGTGTGAATCTACGAGTCTCTACGTGAGTCTATAGGTCTCTGTGCGAGTAATTGGAGACCAGGCCTTGATCATCACCTTTCTGTGCGAGTCTGTGGGTCTCTATGCAGGCCTATGGTCTCTGTGCGAGTCAGCGGTGTCCGGCCCGAGGCCATCACTTCTCGCCGCACTTGAGAACCCGGTTTAAATCACAGGCGACTGGATTCGAACCTAGGATCTCAACGGTTGCCGCTCTGACATCAGAGCGAGCCGGGGTCAACTCAAGGCAGTGGAGTCGTGAATTTATGGAGGGAAAAAAAATGTCCACACAGTGCCGAAGATGTTGATTGGCTGTGCTTTTGGTGTTAGAATAATTGCGGGTTGTTTACGAGGGTAGCTGACACAACGATGATGCATTTTTGTTGTTGACACGCGATGAGACTCGTCATGGGGGGGGAGAGGGGGGGGGGCCCACTTACAAAATCAGAAATTGAAAACCGTTTTGAAAGCGGTGAACTCATCGGCAATAAATCCCAAACGGCGCCGTCGTTTTATTTTATTTCTTTCCACAACGACAGACTTGGCGTTAAATACAGCGACGCGCGCGCGCACGCACGGAGAGACCAACGCGAAACAATTATAAAACCAATTAAAAAGCAACTCTTCATCCGCGGAGAGGCGAAACTTTCAGATATTCTGCACGAACGCAAGCGGCGCGCGTCGGCGTGAGCACGGCGTGACATCGCCACGGTCGACGCCAAAACGTAAAAACGCGTCGTCGTCATTTTGGATTTGCCGCCGAACCTATAACGTAAGTCCTTGCCTGGAGGGATATCGTAGGATCGCCAGTTCACCGGCATCGATTCAAGCGTGTCGTAAGTCGCCCCGGGGGTTTGCTCGTCTTGAAAGGATGCTGCTGCTGCAGCAGAAGGCCGCGTGGTGCCGCTCGCTGGGATGCGTAAAAAAATAAAATTCTACGGAGAAATGGGACGCACGTAATGTTGAACTTCTTTCGCATCGTATGTAGCCAACCGAGCTCATCGGCGGGACGTGTGAAAGATAAATTATCCGCTTCTTTATTTGTGTGTGGGGGGTGGGGGGGGATAGTTAGGCTTTCGTTAAAATTAAAGATGTCAATTTCCAAGCGAGCTCCGCTCAACTTTTGCAAAGCCTCTTCACACACACACCACCGACGTAAAATCCAACCGTTGAGACTCCGAGTCAACGGGGGGCGGGAAATTAAAACGTCGATTTTCCCCGCCGCCACCGACACAGCGATCCACGCTCGTTTCCGGGCGACGCCACGCCAGAGTTCGGCACCAATCAAGCCCTCGCCCGCGAACCCCTCACCACCCAACGCCACGGGCCAGAGTAGCAGCTTCGCCGGTCCGAGATTTTCATCAGCACGCAATTGGCCACTTGCGAATAACGAGCTTTGTAATTAAAACAAAACAAAAAAGGTGACATCGTTTGGTTGGGTGGTGGAGGGGTCGACGATAGGAATTTGGGCACAAACCAATGGGGGGGGGGCAGTGCCCCCCGCCGCCGGTCTACGAAAACCGCTGGGAACGCGCAAAAAAGATAGAAGCATCGCGCGAGCCAAAATGATCTTTTACACACGGGGCAGAGTGCTCCCCGGTCTCCCGTCCCAACACAAAGATCCCCAACCCCCTTCCACCCCCGTGTGGCCTTAACAAGATTGTCTGGGCAAGCGCTGTTAGCGAGTAGCACCTATGAAGGCCGGGACAGTACAGGAGGGGGTGGGTGGCCAACACGACGCCCGGCCGCCTTTGTCTCCCCGGTGACGATGTTCACACTCCGCACCAGGTACTCATTTGAGGCCGAGTCCGCCTAGGGGAGGAGGGCCCAGGACCGGTCCAGATAATCGTCACTCGTTTTGCCCGTGAGCGGGAATCGAACTCGGGTCGCCGGTTCGGTTGCGGAGCGCGCTAACCGCTTCACCACCGCTCCGCACTATCGCACACACGCAGACACAGCCCTTTGTCAATCCACTGCTGGATAAGGGGTCTCTCCACGCCGCGTGAATTTTGCTCGACCGCAGCGCTTGCCGCGCTGCGCGGGAACGTAGCGGTTACAGCTACGGGTGTTTCTGCGTGCCCCTTGCTGCTGCCGCTGCTGCTACTACTGCTGCTGTTGCTGCTACTGCTGCTGCTACTGCTGCTGCTGCCGCTGCTCCTGCTGCTGCTGCCGCTGCTGCTGCCGCTGCTCCTGCTGCTGCTGCCGCTGCTGCTACTACTGCTGCTGCTGCTGCTACTACTGCCGCTGTTGCCCTCTGCAACGTCGATCCTCGTGTCGCCGCGTAACAAACCGACCGCTCCCAACGCAGCGAGTTTATTCTCAACTGTGCGGGACAACGGGGCTGTGTGATCTCTCCCCGAGCTGGGAGTTGAACTCATGGCGGGGCTCACGGACAAAACCTGGATAGGTGGCGGCAGCGTGTCAATCATTCCGTGGGTTTAGCCGCAAAGCTTCGCCCGGTATCACGACTCTTATTGAGGATGGCCGTGCCAGGTTTTTGCAGGAGGGGGTAATGATTGTAGCTGTCCGAGTGAGTGTGATCCCAAATGAGTAATTTTTTTCTTTTAGGTAAATTGGACCACAACTCCTTGGCGAAATGACGTCACGGGATTTTCAATCATCCGCCGCGCAAGCGGACGGTTAACCACTCGCACCGCCACGTCAAATAGGGTGGGGCGGCCGCTGGGTTCGAACCGTGGCCCTCCGCAACGAGCGGCCAAACGCACCAGCGGCACCAGCGGCACCAGCGGCACCAGCGGCACCAGCGGCACCGCCTGCCCCCGTGACACACCGCAAAGCGCGACGACGCGCCGTTCCCGTGCGTCTCGGAGGGGGGCTCGCGACGAAACTTCCTGACGGACAGCCGCAGCGTCGGACGGCGTTACGGAACGCGCGAGCGAGCGCGATCTTACTTCCCTCGTTTTGGCGATGAAGAAAACGTCTTCTCGCTCTCTCTCGCTCTCAGGCGTCGAGCCACGAGACGGAAAGGAAAAAAAAACATTTCCACTCCGCCAAATACATTAAATGCACGGAGGTAAATCAGTCGGCGGCGCGATGGGTTTTAATGAAAGTAAACGGCAGCCCGTAACGAATCTCCGCGTGTCGCTGTAATGGGTCTCCGTGTAAGTGAGTGGCAATCCCTCGAATTAATAGGCACCTACGTAATCGTGCGCAGGCCTGATGCAATCCACTGCTGGATGAATGCCTCCCCCCCCCCCACAGCCCCCGCACCTCACCCCACCCCCCCCATGCTGCGTCAGTCGTGGGGGGAAGGGCGGTCTTGTTCGACCGTACTTCACCACGCCGGTCGGCGCGCGGTTTTGGTTGGTGAAAGGCGTCGTGCCCTCGCATCGGTTCAGATATCGCTCGCCGCCGATGTTAGCCGCGCGACTGGGGATCGAACTCGGGTCCTGTGGGTGCGCTCACCACCGTGCCCCCGCTCCACTGGCACGCAAACCTACACACGCGCGCTTGCAGCCCCTTGCGTCAATCCACCGCCCACGCCCCACACCGTGCGGTGCCACACAGGGCGCTAGTCGACCGTACGTCACCACGCCGGTCAGCGGGGGGTGGTTGGTGAAGGCGCGGGAGCATAGAGGACCAATACAACAACGGCATTCGCCGCTCTACCCCCCCCCCCACGCCCCCCTACCCCCCCCCCGCCCCAACCAGCACGTATATCGCCACCTATAGCAACTGTTACGTGGGTGGGCGGGCGGTCGCGCATCCCGGCACCGGCCAGGCCCGAGGCTTCCGCGCCAGCCTCCTCCGACACGAGCCAACGGGGGGAAACCGATCGAGACGCAAAAAACTAAAAACGCCCCCCCCCCCTTTACCCCCCCCCCCCAACCCCGCCCCCCCCAGGTCGCTCCGCTTGCCGCGTACTCAACACCGGCTACGCCTGCTCCACCGTGGCCGCTCCGCTCTCGCCCGCTGCGTCACCGCCGCCTCCTCCCGCTTGTGTCGCGTCCGCCGCTAGCGTCGTCGCCGTCCTCCCGGCGCCGTCGCGCTCCGTCTCCGCGCGGGCGGTGCCCGTGTCGGAACGTTCAGAGGCTCCGACGTCTGAAGGCACAAGGAGCGGGGGGGGGGGGGGGGGTTGGAGGGTTTTGGTGACCACGTGCGTGATTGAATTCCCGCCGCGGCGAGTGAAAAACAAAAGATTTACTTCCTGGATTCCCGACTTGCGGCGGATCTTTGTCCGGATGATGTTCGCTGCGGTTTCAGACGAAGCGTCGCCGTCAGATTGTTAAATACGGTCGCGTGAGAAATTGTTCTTCAACCGACCGGTGAGCCGAAGCAACAATAATAATACCAACTGGCGTGTGGAGACGCTTGGACACGCGACGGGATTTACATTGTCGGGTGGTGGAGGGATCTTGACGGCACAAATCATCCAGGCCCAGCAGATCGTTACGTGGCCCTCATGGCACTGGCCGTGAAAACCTGCGTGTTAAGTTTGTTGTAGTTTTCTCTGGGTGGCCTGGTGCTGCAGGTAACTCATGATTCCCCGATGCCCCCGTAAGTCTGGATCTCCCTTCCCACAGCCATCCGTGCTGTAGACGCCCTGCCACTCGTCACGTCCAGACTAAATACAGTTTTCTCCTCTGCATATGATGGAACGCCTTTCTCTTACCTACACAGATATATATAGAGATGGCCGACAGAAAGACTTGGTTGCTGGAGCAGAGAGCGTGTGGAGGGGAGTGGAGCGAGACGAGAGAGGAGAGGTAGGAGAGTGTGTAGAGGGGAGTGGAGGGAGCTGAGAGGGGAGTGGTAGGAGAGTGCATGGAGGGGAGTAGAGTGAGATGAGAGGGAAGAGGTAGGAGAGAGCATGAAGGAGGGGGTGGAGATGAGAGGGGAAAGGTAGGAGAGTGCGTGGAGGGGAGTAGAGTGAGATGAGAGGGGAGAGGTAGGAGAGTGCGTGGAGGGGAGTAGAGTGAGATGAGAGGGGAGAGATAGGAGATTGCGTGGAGGGGAGTGGAGTGAGATGAGAGGGGAGAGGTCTGAGATTGCGTGGAGGGGAGTGGAGTGAGATGATAGGGGAGAGGCAGGAGAGTGCGTGGAGGGGAGTAGAGTGAGATGAGAGGGGAGAAGTAGGAGAGTGCGTGGAAGGGAGTAGAGTGAGATGAGAAGGGAGTAGAGTGAGATGAGAGGGGAGAGGTAGGAGAGTGCGTGGAGGGGAGTAGAGTGAGATGAGAGGGGAGAGGTAGGAGAGTGCGTGGAAGGGAGTAGAGTGAGATGAGAGGGGAGAGGTAGGAGAGTGCGTGGAGGGGAGTAGAGTGAGATGAGAGGGGAGAGGTAGGAGAGTGCGTGGAGGGGAGTGGAGTGATATGAGAGGGGAGAGGCAGGAGAGTGTGTGGAGGGGAGTGGAGTGATATGAGAGGGGAGAGGTAGGAGAGTGCGTGGAGGGGAGTAGAGTGAGATGAGAGGGGAGAGGTAGGAGAGTGCGTGGAGGGGAGTGGAGGGAGATGAGAGGGGAGAGGCAGGAGAGTGCGTGGAGGGGAGTCGAGTGAGATGAGAGGGGAGAGGTAGGAAAGTGCGTGGAGGGGAGTAGAGTGAGATGAGAGGGGAGAGGCAGGAGAGTGCGTGGAGGGGAGTGGAGTGAGATGAGAGGGGAGAGGTAGGAGAGTGCGTGGAGGGGAGTGAGATGAGAGGGGAGAGGCAGGAGAGTGAGTGGAGGGGAGTGGAGGGAGATGAGAGGGGAGAGGCAGGAGAGTGCATGGAGGGGAGTGGAGTGAGATGAGAGGGGAGAGGCAGGAGAGTGCGTGGAGGGGAGGGGAGTGGAGTGAGATGAGAGGGGAGAGGGGGGGCCCCCCCCGCCAAAGCGAGGCGCCCACCAGCACCGTACGTCAGAGGTCGCAATCGGGTATCTGATACCCGTACCCTACCCGATACACGGGTACCCGTTTGCGACCCTGGTGCGGCCGGGTACGGGTAGGCCGTGAGTCACTGGTGAATAGTCGTTTGTCACTCATTTCGGGTAGGGTACGGGTACGGTTAGGGAACGGGTACCCGTACCTGGCTGGGTACGGGTCGCCGTTTGCGACCCTGGTGCGGCCGGGTACGGGTACGGCTAAGGAATCAAAACCCGTTTGCGACCTCTGCCGTACGTCTCACTCGCCTGGGCCCGCGTCTCCGTTGTCGCCGGCGCCGTTGCCGGCCCCGGTGCCCTCCGGCGCCTCCGCGTCTTCTCCACCCGCCGGCCTGGGCAGCGCCACGTCGATGCCCAGCATGCGCAGGTAGTGCAGCCGCTCGTTCTTGGCCACGAAACAGCGCAGGGAAGTCTTCCCGCGCCAGCCGCAAAGGATGATGGGACAGCGGGGCGAGTCCGGCTGCCTGCGACGGACGGGGGAAGCAATGAACGGCAAAAAAAAAAAAAACATCGCGGACCCCCCGTCAAGTTGTAGCTTTCTTCCCCGTGCAGAGCAAGTAAAGGGTAACGCGCCCCGTGTAATTGCCGGCTCTCGCCACTGCCGGCGGAAGGGCATTTGGTCTACTCTTCCACGTTGAGCGGATGCATTGGAAGAGGCGAGCGTACCCACACTTTACCCCACCACACGCGGATTCAATCATCCTGCTGGGCGAGTGGTGGGGGGGTGTGGAGCAGGTTTTAGAAACCTGCCCCACTGTTCCATCTCCGGCATCTCGGCATGCTCCCGGTGCGGCTTGGTAAAGCCACCGGGCTCGCGCGTTTCTGCGGCTCTGCTGCCGTACGTCTCTCTCTCTCCCGAAGCGCTTTCGAGTCGTGCCACGCGTCGTTCGGCGCCACGTCCGACGTTTCGGAGACCTTCTTCAGGGACTGAGTCGATCGAATCGGTCTGGTCCCGAAAGAAGCTTCCCAGCATGCAGCGTTTGCCGTGGGTGTTTGTGCAATAGAGGTTTTTTGGGTTAAGCTTGTGCAAATATAAATGTGTCGTTAAAGCCGCCACCGCCCGACACAGCCTATTAGCAAGGTTTGTCACGTAAACAGAACGTGCCAATTAGTCACGAGTACAGCACTAACCGGTTGTGTATTGGAGAGTAAACCCACCACAACATTTACAACTCAAGTACCGTCACGTTTCGCCAGTGATTACAACCACAACCAGCATCATCAGGCGACAGCCACAGAGCTGTGGAGAAATGCGCGTTGTGCGTGTACATTATGTATGAATAACCCAACCGGCAATGGATATCCATTGTATTTTATATGCACACGTTAACCGCACCCCGCCCCCCACCTCTGTTCCTCGCACCTGGATGGCTCACAAGTGACGACGTCTCATGTCGTCCCCTCTATTTAAGACCGAAACGGGAGGAGGATTTCTCCACAACTCTGTGGCTGTCGCCTGGTGATGCCGGTTGTTGTTGTTGTAATCACTGGCGAAACGTCACTGGTATTTGAGTTGTAAATGTTGTGGTGGGTTTACTCTGCAACACACAACTGGTGACGAATTGGCACGTTTTGCTTACGTGACAAACGTTACTAATTGGACGTGTCGGGTGGTGGCGGGTTTAACGACACATTTATATATTTACGCGATCTAACCCAAAAAACCTCTATTATGGATCATACTGGTAACGAAAGCCCTACTACATGTTAAACTGTGTGTGTGTGTGCGAGAGCATCAAACTTACTCCGGGTCTGGTTCGTACTTCAGCACAACGCTTCCAATACCTGGCGAGAGAAACAAAATCAACGTCACGGTGGAGAACCGCCACTGGGACGGCGCACTCCCAGAAGGCAGTGCGATGCCGATGGGTTGCACGTACGTACGGTGAACTTCTATCGCACCCGTATTAGCGCGGTTGGCTAATCGGAGGTGCGGGGGAAGGACAACACACACACACACAGCGGCAACCACCGCCGCTTTCTTTAGAGCCTAGTCTCAAACAGTGTTAGACCAGAGGAAGCCGAAAGCGAACAGCACAAAGACAAAGCCACTATCAGAGTAATGAGAGCTCGGGGTGAGCAGCTACATCTTGGGACCTCCCTTGCCAGACAGCTTTCTTTAGACAGCTTTATTTAGAAAGCTTTCTTTAATCAGTTTCAAAGACAATGAATACACTACCAGAGCATGTGTTTTTGTGTTTGCATGTTCAACACAAGTATCTGTGGTTAATGCAGACACGATTCCTTGTAAAAGGTTTCAGTTTGGTGTTTTGCCATCTTAACACAACTGTTTTATTGCCAACAATGGTAATACTGCTGTAGTGACATAGCACGTCACTGCTGTGTCGGCCCGTACGAGAGCTGGGGGCCCCAAGGGGGTGCCTGGGAGGTCACGTGGTGGAGGGACCCAGACCTTCCCGTGAGGTGGGGGAAGGGAGGCGTGGCCTGGGTAGGGAGGCGTGGCCTGGGCAGGGAGGCGTGGCCTGGGAAGGGAGGCGTGGCCTGGGAAGGGAGGCGTGGCCTGGGCAGGGAGGCGTGGCCTGGGAAGTGGATATAAGCGTGGTGTGGACGCAGAGCGAGGCTGTTGAACTCCGAAGTGAAGACGACATCATCGGTCCTCAAGTCCCGGGTCGTCGTCCTGGGCCAGGCAGCCCGTCGCCTGCCTGGTCCACTCTGTGTCGTCTTCCAGAGTGATTAGTGAGTTGAGGAAGGTGGTCACCACCTCATGTACAGTGTTATATTACTTACCGTTTAATAAATAGTGTTGCCTCCAAGCTGTGTGTGTGTGTGCACCTAATTCGAACCCACTACACTGGCAAGTGAGGTCCCGTGATGGTCCTCTCCCTCTCTCCCCGAGCCTCTCTCGCGAGGCGCCGCTGATCGAAACTCGCCGGACGCGCGGCGGTAACTCACTGAGCGGCTTGGCCTGGTTGCGCGCCTCGAGGGAGAACTTGCCCAGGAAGGGGTTCTCCTGCGTGAGTAGCACCACGATGTCCGTGTAGGGCACGCTCACCACGCGCTCGCCCACGTACGGGAACAGCGTGTAGATCGCCTGCGTCGCGCACACAAAGCGAGTTTTAGTTTTGACATCATTCAGCCCCCCCCCCTCCCACCACCGCGCGCACCTCCAATTAGCGCGGTTGGCCACGTACGCCGCGAGAAAAGTTAAACGTACAAACCTCGTATCACCTTAACAGACTTATTACAGGTTTGTTTAGGATTAGATCGCGTAAATATATAAACGTGTCGTTAAACTCATCGCCGTCCAACACAGCCAACTCGTAAGGGTTGTGACGTAAACAGAACGTGGCCAATTCATCACTTGTACAGCACTAGCGTGTAGTGTATAGTGTAGTGTATAGTAGTGTATAGTAGTGGTGTATAGTAGTGTAGTGTATAGTGTAGTGTATAGTAGTATAGTGTATAGTAGTGTAGTGTATAGTAGTGTAGTGTATAGTAGTGTAGTGTATTGTGTAGTGTATAGTAGTGTAGTGTATAGTAGTGTAGTGTATAGTAGTGTAGTGTATGGTAGTGTAGTGTATAGTAGTGTAGTGTATAGTAGTGTAGTGTATGGTAGTGTAGTGTATAGTAGTGTAGTGTATAGTAGTGTAGTGTATAGTAGTGGTGTATAGTAGTGTAGTGTATAGTGTAGTGTACTAGTACAGCACACCGGTGTGTTGGAGAGCAAAGCCACGACATTTACAATCCGCGTACGACGTTTCGCCAGTAATTACAACCAGCTTCATCAGGCGACAGCCAGATTTGGCTGTGTCGGGTGGATGCGGGTTGAACGACACTTTTATACGCGATCTAACCCAACAAAAACCTTTATTATGGATGATATTGGTCGCGAAAGCCTACTACGTGTTAAACCTTGACAGACTGTTGGGGCAAGTGCTGTTAGCTAGCGAGTAGCACCTATGAAGGCCGGCACGGCACACGAGGAGGTGAGTGGCCAGCAACCACGCTCGGCCGCCTTTGTCTCCCCAGTGGCAATGTTTTACACACCGCACCAGGTACTCATTTGAGGCTGAGTCGACCTAGGGGAGGAGGCCCAGGACCGGTTCAGATGATCATCACTGGTGTTCGCCGTGAGCGGGAATCAAACCCTGGGTCACCGGGTTCGTAGCGCAGCGTAGCGCTCACCGCTACGGATCACGTAAGTGCAAGCGAGTCTACGCAAGCAAGAGTAGGCGAGTCGATCAGTCTGCGTGCGAGTCTACGGGTCTCCACCCAAATGTACGATATCACGGAGCGAGAGAATTCGAGCATCTGACACGACGCGTTGCCGTGGTACTTGTGGCTGAGAAGAGGAGAAAGCGGCGGGCGTGCCTGACGCTCGATTGTAATTGTTGCGCCGCGCGGCATGAACTGGAATCGACCCCAATCAGCCAAACGAGTCACCGGAGAAGGTCTCCTGGAGTGCGCGCGTCCGTCAAGGCCAATACCGCTAATTAAATGACCGATGGCCTTCGAGTGAACCACGCGCGGCAGACGGATTGATCGGCGGCGGCGGCGGCGCCGCGGCGTTAATTCCGCTAACGGGATTAGCGGGCGAGGGTGTCCGTCGTTATCCCAAGTTGTCAACGAGCGGGCGAGGCTGGGCGAGCGCGACGGACGACGGTTACGACGATGGTGGTGACGACGAGAACCGACGGTTACGATGAGGGTGACGATGACAAACTACGGTTACGACGACGGTGACGAACGAAGGTTATGACGACGATTATGATGACAGTGATGATGACGATGGTTATGACGACGGTTACGACAACGGTTACAAACGACAACGGTTACGGCGACGGTTATGAACGACGATTATGACGACAGTGATGACGATGACGGTTATGACGATGGTTATGAATGAAGGTTATGATGAAGAGGGTCGTAACCCGCAAGGGAGCAGTGCGCGATATAAACGAAATTATAAAGAATCGATTCATCAATCAAAGCGCGACACCGAGTCGCTGTGCGGGGGCGCGACAGCGAAACGAAGAATGCCGAGCGACAATGACGAACCAAGTCGACCCCCGACCGACTGGGGTGTGAACTTGTGACCTTCTAAGTTCATAACAAAATTAAGGAACTAGACAATATGCCTCCTTCGCATAGCACATATATAAAAAGAAAGAATTTTTAAACTTTTAGTTTTTTTACATCCCATCAGGGATTTGGGCTCTCTGGGAGTTTCAGCAGCATTGGTTCAACACAAGCAAACTCTGGTGCGGTACTGACATCCACCATTGGTTCAAGCAAGCCCGACTCTGCTGGCAAGAGACACTGCATGTGGAACACTCGCCGACGAGTTCGCTTCCGACGGAGCGTTTTCCTCTCTTTTCTTTATGATCACAAGATCGAGGCAGAGAGTGGTTGCGCAGCAGTTAGCGTCTCCACCGCGCGACAAATTCCCGCGACCTCGGTTCGATTCCCGGCGGCCGCGGCCAGCGTGGGCGACGAGCGATATACGCGAACGGATCCCGGTCCACCGCTCTTCACCGCACCGACCGAAGTGGGGCATTGCGGTCAAGCCACCGCTAGAGGCACAAGCAGGAAGGCTTTCACCCAACGGAGGATTTGACGTCAGGGGCCACACGAGTGACATCCGCGCCACCGTTAAGTCAACCCGCGCCATGCTGCCCGACGTGGTGAAGTATGGTCCTGAACGAAGAGCCCTGCGCGCCAACCCCCGCCGTTCCTGAACTTCTCTCTCGCTTACCTCTTGTCCCAGACGGAAGGCACAACCAAACTCCTCTCCATCAGCGTTCCTCGACCACGCCTTGACGCCCGTGTTGATGATCTACGGGAGAAATTATCCCAAAACAACGTTTGTGTTCATCGCTCGGCACGTATCCGAATCTTCGTCAACGTCATCGTCAATAAATAAAATTAACTCCTAAATATTCACGTGTGTATACTGAGCTTGTTTCGCACCGTACGTAGCCAACCGTGCTAATCGGAGGTGTGGGGGAAGGACAACAAAATAAACACAAAAAGCTGTTGTCAAGAAATAAATTTTCAATCTGGGGTACCCCACCCACCCGTACCCCACCCACCCAACCACCCGTACCGTACCCCACCCACCCGTACCCCACCCACCCAACCACCCGTACCGTACCCCACCCACCCGTACCCCACCTACCTGTACCCCACCCATACCCCACCCACACGTACCCCACCCACTCACCCAAAAACATGTACCCCGCCGACCCACACACCCACCCACCCGTACCCCACCCACCCGTCCGTACCCTACCCACCCACTCATAAACACGTACCCCACCCACCCACCCGTACCCCACCCAACCACTCACCCACCCGTACCCCACCCACTTGTACCCCACCCAACCCGCACCCCACCTACCAACACGTAACCCGCCCACCAACACGTACCCCACCCACCCGTCCGTACCCCACCCACCCCCACCGGGTCACCTTGACGCGCTGGCTGTTGTGGATCATGATGTCGCGGACTTGGCTCGACACAAGGTACAGGTGGCGCTTCTTGCCCTCGTGCGTGCGCGTCAGCAGGTTGCGCAGCGGGAAGTTCGCCGCCAGCTTGTAGAAGCCCCTGCAGCAGCGGGGCGCAGTCACAACAAAACCTCGGGTTTTAAAGCGAACGGCCCATCCATTCATTCTAGATTTGAAGCTTTCGTGACTGCAACGATTCATATTCTTAGGTGTTTTCGGTAAAGTCCCATCCATTGCGCCGGAGCCGAGCCATTTGACAAAAGGCACCGCGCGCCACCGCGGCGAATATCACGCCGTCTTGCGGCACAGCGATTGACGCGCAGCGGTGTAGTGGCCGTAGGGGTGGGTAGCAGTATGAGGCCCAGTGGGTTAAACTACCAAGACCATAATTGTCACTGGGTGTTGGTGGCCGTGAGCGGGAATTGAACTCGGGTCGCCAGGTTCACCGCGACACTACAGCTTCCTACAGAGATACATTAGAGAGGTACACACACAGACACGTACATATATAGGTACACACACAGAGATGCACGTAGATATAAAAAAGACAAAGATCCCCCGTATAGCCTTAACAGACTGTAGGGGCGAGGGTCGGTGCACGGTTTGCCGCCGCGGCCCTTACTTGATGGAAGGAAAAATGGGGTCGTCCTCCCGCATGAACACGAACGGGTCCTCCTTGTACCCGTGCAGCTTAAACTTCTTCGACGGCGGGGGGCCGCAGACGCCGTCGTGAATCGCGGGCGACGGCTCAGCGAGGGCGGCCGCGTCGGCATCGGCGACGGCGTCATCGGCGGCGGGCTTCCCAGAATCCTCTGCGTCCGCGTCGGCAATCGCCGTTCCGTCGGCGTTTGCCGACGCGGATGAGGCCGCTTTAGAGTTCTGCACCTGCACGGTCACAAGGCAAACATCAACAAACAAAGACGAAGATCCTTCCCCCGTGTAGCCTTAACAGACTGTTGGGGCAAGTGCTGTTAGCGAGTAGCACCTATGAAGGCCGGCACGGCACACGAAAGGGGTGGGTGGCCAGCACCCACCCTCGGCCGCCTTTGTCTCCCTAGCGGCGAAGGGTGGGGTAGGGTGGGTGGGGTGGGGTAGGGTGGGTGGGGTAGGGTGGGGTAGGGTGGGGTAGGGTAGGGTAGGGTGGTGGGTGGGGTAGGGTGGGTGGGTGGGGTAGGGTGGGTGGGTGGGGTAGGGTGGGTGGGTGGGGTAGGGTGGGTGGGGTAGGGTGAGTGGGGTGGGTGGGGTAGGGTGGGGTGGGTGGGTGGGGTGGGGTAGGGTGGGGTGGGTGGGGTGGGGTAGGGTGGGGTGGGTGGGGTAAGGTGGGTGGATGGGGTAGGGTGGGTGGGTGGGTGGGTGGATGGGGTAGGGTGGGTGGGTGGGTGGGTGGGGTAGGGTGGGTGGATGGGGTAGGGTGGGGTGAGTGGGGTGGGTGGGGTAGGGTGGGGTGGGGTAGGGTGGCTGGGGTATAGGGTGGGGTGGGTGGATGGGGTAGAGTGGGTAGGGTGGGGTAGGGTGGGTGGGGTAGGGTGGGGTAGGGTGGGTGGGGTATGGTGGGTGGGGTGGGGTAGGGTGGGTGGGGTGGGGTGGGTCGGTGTTGTGGGGTAGGGTGGGTCGGTGTTGTAGGGTGGGTGGGTGGGTGGTTGTGGTAGGGTGGGTTTGTGGGTGTTGTAGGGTAGGGTAGGTGGGTGGGGTAGGGTGGGTGGGGTGAGTGGGGTAGGGTAGGGTGGGTGGGGTAGGGTGGGCACCCACGTTCCGCTGCCGCTTGTTCCAGGGCATCTCTCGCTTCTTCTCCAGCACGGCCACGAAAAACCCGCCGGTGTTCTGGTGGTGCGGCAGAATCCGGACGCTGCCCCAGACACACGGCAGGGGGAAGAGTCGTCGCCATCACCGTCAGCGTCGTCGTCATCACCGTCAATCGTTTAATCCCCACGAAGCGCCCCACGGGGAGCGAGTTTCACGACATTGGCGCGCGGCGATCCACAAACCCCTCGCCGCCACCACCAGCCAGCCGGCCGATCAAATAATTAGTTTTGAAGGATGGAGGAGAAGGAGGTCCCGTACGAGAGGTGGGCACCTTTGTTGTCCTCCACCCGCACCTCCGATGAGCACGGTTGGCTCCGTGCGCTGCGAAAGAAGTTCAACGCTCGCACGCACGCACGTACCAGCGGTGGAGGTTGAAACTCTGGAGGACCGCCGGGTCGGGCGGAGGGAACATAGTCTGGCGCAACTGGGCGCGACGTTCAGGCGGCACGGACTCCAGGTTCTCGAACCACGCCCCGTCCTTCGTCATGACCTGAATGTGGTCACGCACGCACACACGCAACAACAATAACTACGAAGGTCCCCCGTGTAGTAGCCTACACACACCGTTGGGGCAAGTGTTGTCAGCGAGGATTTACAGAGGCTGGAACGGACGCATGAGCGGGTGGGTGTGGGTAGCACCACCCTACAGTGCTGACGTTGACACAGCGCACCGTCTAGCACTTTTTCAGAAGCGACCCTGCCACAAATGATAGCTCAACCAAGTGGCTTGTCATCATCACGTGGACATTTATAGCGGTAGCCAAATATTCTCGAAAGCACGTCGATTCTAAATGTGGAAGGAGAGAAATCCCAGCGACCACGGGGAGACAGGCACGTAAACACCAAAAATACAGGCATCAGGGTCGGGGTGGAACCCACGATTTGCTGTATACCAGGCAAGGTGGTTAAGTATAGTAATAGGTTTTTACCCTTTCAACTGGTACAAAAACTGATACCTTTATACAAGATGTTTGCAATCACCACAACACAATTAGTCAAGTTGACAACAAAAAGAAACAACTCTGATAATGATATGCACTGTCCTTGAAGTTGATTGGTCCACACCCGAGACAGCTTTTCTTAGAGCCTAGTCTCCATTGGTGTTGGACCAGATGACGCCAAAAAGGCGTACAACTCAAAGACAGCGCACTATCAGAGTATTGAGAGCTCGGGGTAAGCATTTACACTATGAGACATCTCCTTTACCAGTAGCAAAATATAGTAATAGGTTTTTACCCTTTCAACTGGTACAAAAACTGATACCTTTATACAAGGTTGTGTTGTGGTTATTGTATAAAGGTATCAGTTTTTGTACCAGTTGAAAGGGTAAAAACCTATTACTATATTTTGCCACTGGTAAAGGAGATGTCTCATATTGTAAAGGTGGTTAAGATCTCGCCTAGTCGAACATCAGACATCAAATTTCGATTTAAAGCTTTCGTGACTGCAGGGATTCATCTTCTTGGTCCTTTCGGTAAAGTCACGTAGAAGGGAAGTAATAAAATAATAAAAATAAAACATAATAAAATAATTCTCATGACGTTTCGGCTACGGCTGCTTGCGTTGTAGCCAAAACGTCGTGAGAATTATTTTATATTGTTTTATTTTTATTATTTTATTACTTCCCTTCTACGTGACTTTACCGAAAGAACCAAGAACATCAGACATCACTCGCCACTGGTGAGAATTACAAGTATTATTTTGACAGTCTCGTGACAGACGTGACTCTGTGGCAGGCTGAATAAATAAATTTTGGCACCCACACCCCCCCCCCCCGCTATTGTGCGGCCCAGAGGTCACTTGAAGAAGAGATCTCAGAGGTAGCTCTCTGACGGGCCGTGGAAGTGCTCGCCGAGGAGATCCGACTGGACGCGCCGTCCCGTGACGCGGCAGGACCAATCATCGTAAAAACCGGGCAACCCGAGTTTTATTTCTGTCCCCGGCTCACATCGGCCGTGGGTGGCGTCCGTTTAACGAATGGGACAAACGGGCAAAGTGAGAAATTGGGAGATTTAAAAGAAACACTAAAACCATAACACGGATGGACGTACGGAAGCACGTACGGACGGAAGGGTCGAGGTGAAGAACATTTAAAAAAAAAATCTTGATTTGAAGCTTTCGTGACTGCAGGAATCCATACTCTTTGGTTCTTTTGGTAAAGTCACGTGGGTATAAAATAAAAGAAATCACGACGTTTCGGGCGCAACACAAGCATCCGTCATCAGGTGGGAAAGCATGGTCTGCTGCCTCAGCGTGATTTATTTTAATTTTATTTAATACCTCCGTGACTTTACCGTAAGAACCAAATAGATTTTTTTCAAAGTCAAACCTTCCAGGCGGTGAGTCCCGGCATGCGCTTGAGCTGAGTGAGTTCCTCCGACACGTCCACCAACTCCAGGGCTCCTGCACGGGGAGGGTGGGGGGAGGGGTCCGGGGTCACGTGGAGATCAACGAGAGAACTGAGCTTCATTGTGAAATGCAGCGTACCGATATTTCAATGAAATGGTTGATGTTAAGACGGGAGAGAGGAACGCATGCCACGGAGAACAACGGAACGCTCAACCATCATTCCCCTCCCCTCTGTCCGTCCGTTTGCTCGTCCATCCGTCTAACTTTTGGTTTGTCTGTTAACATCAGGGTGGCTAGAAGATGTTAACTGCCTCGCCTGGTATACAGGAAGTCGTGCATTCGATCCCGACCCTGACGCCTGCTGCTGTATATTTGGAGATTGCGTGTCTCTCTCTCTCTCATCATCATCACGGTGGCTAGGAGATGTTAACGACCTCGCCTGGTGTACAGGAGGTCGTGCGTTCGATCCCGACCCTGACGCCTGCTGCTGTATATTTGGAGTTTGCGTGTCTCTCTCTCTCCCCGTGGTCACGTAGATTTTTCTCCGGGTCCTCCCGTTTTTCGCCGCACATTTAGAATTGATGTGCGTTTGGAGTATTTGGCTGCTATAAATTTCCACGTGATGATAATCCCCTTTGCGGCCGCTTGTGAAAAAGAGCTGTACAGCTTCGCGGGCCTTACCTGGTAAAATAAAAAGTTTCTAGTTTTTATAGTTTTAAGCGAGCTTGGGCAGGACACGTCCCTTGAGGTACGACCACGACAAGCACCGGCGGTGGTCGAGACTAACCGCGGAGTGGCACCAACGCCCACCGCAGCACGACGCCTGCGCGCGCGGATTCCGCTCGCGCTCGCCAACGCGCCCGTTCGTCCCCGGAAAGCTTTCCAATCGGCGGCAGGGAAGCCGACGACGACAGGGGGGCGACGGGTAGGAGGGACAAGCGGGCGGGAACGAGGGCGGGCAGGGGGCGACAGCGACGCACCTTGGCTGCTGTGGAGCAGCGAGGCGACCACGGCCTCGTTCTCCACGGGGTTGAGGGAGCACGTGGAGTAGACCATGCGGCCGCCCACCGCCAACAGTTCCGCGCCGCGCACCGAGATCCTCCGCTGGAGCCTGCGGAGCGACGGAGAGACGCGTCACGTGTGGGAGAGGCGAAGGACCGAGCGGTGTCAAGGGTGGGCGACATCAACGGTGTTAATGGTGGGCAATGTCGCGTACGGTAGAGGGTGGGAGAAGTCGAGGGCAGACGCAGCGACAATCGGCTCGGCGGCACCAACGCAAAGCAGGAGCAGAAAACCGACGCAAATCTCCGGGCCAAGCAACAACCGCCTCTGCCGCACGTGCGCTAAAATGGGCCGTCACCACGCTCGCGGTGCCACCCACCCACCCACGTGACCGTCGCCACGCTCGCGGAGCCACCCACCCACGCGACCGTGCCACCGTCGCCACGCTCGCGGAGCCACCCACCCACGTGACCGTGCCACGCTCGGAGGCGCGGTGCCACCCACCCACGTGACCGTGCCACGCTCGTAGGCGCGGTGCCACCCACCCACGTGACCGTGCCACGCTCGTAGGCGCGGTGACACCCACCCACGTGACCGTGCCACGCTCGTAGGCGCGGTGCCACCCACCCACGTGACCGTGCCACCGTCGCCACGCTCGCGGTGACACCCACCCACGTGACCGTGCCATGCTCGTAGGCGCGGTGCCACCCACCCACGTGACCGTGCCACCGTCGCCACGCTCGCGGTGACACCCACCCACGTGACCGTGCCACGCTCGTAGGCGCGATGCCACCCACCCACGTGACCGTGCCACGCTCGGAGGCGTGGTGCCACCCACCCACGTGACCGTGCCACGCTCGGAGGCGCGGTGCCACCCACCCACGTGACCGTGCCACGCTCGGAGGCGCGGTGCCACCCACCCACGTGACCGTGCCACGCTCGAAGGCACGGTGCCACCCACCCACGTGACCGTGCCACGCTCGGAGGCGCGGTGCCACCCACCCACGTGACCGTGCCACGCTCGGAGGCGCGGTGCCACCCACCCACGTGACCGTGCCATGCTCGTAGGCGCGGTGCCACCCACCCACGTGACCGTGCCACGCTCGAAGGCACGGTGCCACCCACCCACGTGACCGTGCCACGCTCGGAGGCGCGGTGCCACCCACCCACGTGACCGTGCCACGCTCGTAGGCGCGGTGCCACCCACCCGTGCATGTTGAGGCCGTTCCCTGGCGTCCATTTCTTCCACACGTCGATGTTTTTGCGAAGTGTTCCATCGCCGCTAAAAACAACAACAACAAACGATGGCATCTCAAGTCCAGGAGATGGTTTTAGATTTGTCCGATCTCCTGTTCACTACCCCATTCCCCAAAGCAGAGCTAATGATCATAACGATGGATTAGGTTACATCGGGGGGAGGTGGCCCAGTGAATCATGCACCGAGTCGTGAATCTGGCAACCCGAGTTTGACTCCTGGCCATGGCTAACATCAGCGGCGAGTGGGATCTGGATTTGCAACGATGGACGGATGGATGCATGGTTGGATAGATGTAGAGACAGAGATGGTTGGATGGACCGAGAGAGATGATTGATGGAGATAGACAGAATAACAGAGAATGGATGGTTCAATGGACAGACAGAATGGAAAGATTGATTGAATGGAAGGACGGAAGGATGTGTGTGCGCGTGGTCTCCCTGTTCAGGCAGATCGACCGATGTGACACACGGACGATTTGGCGATCAATCGACAGGCAGAACAACACACCGATGACTGACAAGACACATGACAGACGATATCCAGATGGATGGACGGATGGACTGACGGGACTGGGCCGCCACGGTGGTGAGATGTTAACTACCTCGCCTGGTATCCAGGAGGTCGCGAGTTCGATCCTGACCCCGACTCATGTTTATTATTTGGAGTTTGCATGCTTCTCCCTGTGGTTGCGTGGACTTTAGAATCAACGTGCATGTTGTGTATTTGGCTGCCGTTTCAATGTTCACATTTTAAGCCACTTCGTTGGGCTATAAATAACTATATAGCTCAGTGCGCTTTACCTGGTAAAATAAAAATTAGTATAGTAGTGTAGACTGAGATGACTAGCAGATGCACCACCTGTGCCCCTTAAACACACACCATACCATAGAGGAACTGGTGTAGGTCCCAAAACCACATTCCCAATTGTGAAAAACCACCTGCAAATTGCGGTCTTATAGCTTTTAAAAGTGACCGACTGACATTCGAACGGTTCACGTTGGCGCGCACGACGCACGGCACCTGCACGGCACGTCGGCGAGGATGCGGTCGAAGCGGAGGAACTGGCGCGTCGTGGCGGCGGCGGCCTCCCCCGACGCCGCCGGGGCAGGCGGCGTCGGCGTCATCTGCAGCAGCGGCAGGCTGCCGGCGTCGTGGTTGCACACGATGACGCAGGGGCTGTGCAGGCGTTTCGACTGGTGCACCAGCAGGTAGCAGCGCTTGTTGTCCGAGTCGTTAGCGATGATGAAGCCGTCTGCCAGAAGACAGAGGGAGACACGGATGGAAAGGACGTCAAGTTTATACTGGTAGGAACCTCCTGGTTAGACCAGCCCACAGGGGATTATTGTGTCCGTCCGTCGTGCAGGGAGGGGTTGGGTGGGGAGGGAGGGGCTGGGTGGGGAGGGGAGGGTGGGGAGGGGCTGGGTGGGGAGGGGCTGGGTGGGGAGGGTGGGGCTGGGAGGGGTGGGGCTGGGTGGGGAAGGGCTGGTCACCCCGTGGTGCCCTTATAAAACTCAACGTTTAACCTACTCCCGCCGGCTTGTGCCCGCCCTCACAGTCGGGCATATTTGCGGAATACACCACGCCGCCGTTGACCCTGGCCATTGACCGAGCAACCCAACGTTCCTACCAGCTCCCTCCGCAGGAATGTGTTTTATTTGTGGAACCGGGAGCGAACTCGGGGGAGATCAGGATGAGTCTCATTTGCAAGAGAGACTACTCCGGGTCACTCCTTGACCAGGGGTGAGTCTCCGACGTACAGAAGAACCCACTTAGTGTCTCGCAATTTTCTTGCCGGGTGGAGCAGCGGGTGAGCCCACGGTGCTCTGAACGTGACGCGAGTTCCATTCCCGGCCACATTTGTGGTCAGCAGGGTGGTGAACACTGGTGCCTTACAGCTGGAAGGACCTGGGTTCGATTCCCGACTCGGGCACCTTCCCGTGTTTGAGTTTGTGGTTCTCCCCCTTGCTCTGCTTGGGCTTATTCCGAGTTCTCCGTTTTTCTCCCATAGCGAGATAAAAATCTACGTTCCGTAGAACTTTTTTCGCACGGTACCTAGCCAACCGTGCTAACCGGAGGTGCCGAATGTAATCCAATGCTGCAAAATTACCTGCAAATTACTCGATTGAGACCAATAACAAAGATCCCCCGTATATAGTTTAAGGCTATACAGGAGATCTTTGTATTTTTGTGTGCGTACGTGTGTCCGCGTATGGGTCGACTATGGGGAGACAAAGGCGGCCGGGCGTGGTGTTGGCCACCCACCCCCTCGTGTGCCCGTGCTGGCCTTCATAGGTGCTACTCGCTAACAGCACTTGCCAACAGTCTGCTAAGGCTACACCGGGGGGAGATCTTTGTCTTTGTGTGTGTGCGTGCGTCTGTGCGTCATACCGGGGAGAGGCGTGCTCATGTCAGAGTGCAGCATCTCGATCAGCTGTGCCGTCTTTGAGCCCGGCGCTGCGCACATGTCCAGCACCTGGGGATCAGCTTCACGGTCATCGTCGACAACAGCAGCAGTGACAGCAGTGACGGCAGTGGCAACGGAAGCAATAGCAGCAGCAGCAGACGCAACAGCAGACGCAGTACAGGCTTGACAGCAATTATCAAATTGTACATGGCATAAGTCGTGGTTTCAATCCCGGTTTTTCCCTCCAAATCTAGAAACGTGCATTTAGAGTATTTGGCTGCTATCAATGTCCACGTGATAAGCCACTTTGTTGAGCAATCATTTGTGCGAGTGGCGGTGCAGTTTTGATGACAACAGATCAAAATGGACTGATAAGGAGGGGTTGGGATAGACCCCGGTCGTAGCTGGGGGGGGGGGGGGGGGGGGGGGACAGGAAGCTGGGGGACTGAAAAGTATTCAGGCATAATTGCAGCATCAGCAGCAACATACTAAAGATGATGATGACTACGAATTAACAATGAGGCTTCCCGTTTAACACGTAAGCTTTCGTGACCAATATTAAGATGGATATTTACGGCATCGAACTCAAAATAAAACAAACTCTTTGGGTCTTTCGGGAAAGTCTCGTAGATAGAAAAATAACAGATCACGACGTTTCGATCGCAACGCAAGCAATCGTCCTCAGGTGTATCTACGTGACTTTACCGAAAGACCCAAAGAGTATGATTTCCTGCAGTCACGAAAGCTTTAAATCAAGATTCCATCTGTAATAAAGGTCATGGAAGCGACTTCTGGAATCCGGTCATTATTTGTCTTTCGTTCACAACACTCCCATCTTACTCCTTCACGCTGCTGACAGACAGCGTGAGAGGGAGAGAGAGAGAGAGACACGCGTGGCAGCCTGGACCACGTGGCAGCCCTAGACCACGTGGCAGCCTGGACCACGTGGCAGCCTGGACCCCGCTCCAGCGTGGCCTCACCCTCCGTTCGTTCCAGATCTGACCACGTGTTGGCCATCTCCACCCCATTTAATACCAGGGTCACGTGGCACCTTTCCACCAATCCTGGTTAACCTCTATGGAATCTTCTAGACTCCATCGTACGCTCCCGGGACCACGCCCCTGACTCGTCCCCCCATTGGCTGTGGCTAAAGCCAGCAGATCCAATCCTCTACTTACAGATGTCACCTTCCCATTACGTCAGGGCCACGCCCCTAGACTTCCCCCCATTGGCTATGGGCCAGGACCGACAGAGCCAATCATCGCACGAGGTGTAATCCATCAGCAACCCGGATATATCCTCACATTACATATGGATGAGGCTTCCATCCATCTCGCGTTACCTTGTGGTGCGGCTCCACCTTGAGCAGGAGCGGAGGGATCATGCTCACCGCTTCTTGGCGGCTGATGTTTCCCTGTTACGGTTAAAGGCGAGAAACAACACTGTTATTATCATCATCATGACTACGATTGGTTAGCCAGGAAGGCCTCAATTGTGAGTCTCATGACTCTCTCAGGTGGTTTCTGCCAATTCTTCGCAGGAGAGGGAGGGGGGGTGTGGGTAGGGGGGCGATGATTGCTACCACCCCGACTGACGATTCACTCAGAATTCTATCCGGTGCAGCAGTGAGGTGGGACCTGGTTACTCCACTGCAGCAGGATTTCGGCTTCGGCCAAGTCCGTGCTTTGTACAGCGGTGATAGTTTGTTTGGAGTTCAAGGTTGGCGAACACGTCGTGCAAACTAAGAATTACGATTCTGTTTTCCTGCTCCGATGAGCATTGAGGCGGTGGTCACTTCCTGCAAAGCCAGTGGTGGAAATTCCACATTCCTATGACAGGGGAGGGGGGGGAGTCTCTCCATTTGAGAACCACAGTTCAACTCCCCACAAAGTGGTACTCATTTTATTGACCCTGGATAGATGATGAGCCGAGTCAACCCACGACGAGGATCTTAACTGTATGCGCGAACGTTGCATTTATTTCGCGGCGTACGTAGCCAACCGTGCCAATCGGATTGCAGGCCGCTCGCTTCACCACCACCACCACCAGCAGACAAACGGTCACCGCATCGCGGCGCTTTCAGGTGCGCTTCTGCGGCCGTCTGGAACGCTCTTCCTTCCGATATCAGGAAGCCACTGGAGCTATGCACTTTTAAACCATCATCTAGCTTGACAAACTCAATTCTGTAGAACTGCTTTGTGTTGTTTAGTTTGTTGTCCTTCCCCTTCCCCCACACGATTAGCGCAGTCGGCTCCGTAGAGTGCGAAAGAAGTTCCAAATTCATACCAACATACACCACCGATATTTTTTTGTCTAAGCCAGGGGCGGCCACCTACGGCTCCGGAGGCTGCACGAGGCCCTTGAAAGGACTTTCTTCGTGACGTTAGTCATCAAGGACCACCGTCCCGTCTCGTATTCACCACGTTGCATTGCGGCTCTTGAAATTATTAGTTTTTCTTATATATACCGAATTCAAACAAAAATGGATCATTCTTGTTATTTTCGGTCGTTGACCAACCACCACCCCCCCGCTCCCTGGGGTCTGAGCGGACCAGCAGGGCCGCGGGAGCGCAACGCGACTCACCGACTCCGTCTCCGTGATGAGGAACTGGTGGAACGCCTCCAGCAGGTGGCACTTGCGGATGCTCTTCCGGCTCAGATTCACCTGCCAGCCAAACTCGTTGGGGTACCTAGAGGAGGAGGGCGAAATCGCGATAATAATTTTTTTTTTTTTCCCACCGCTCAAACGAGCTGCGCCAAATGGGGCCCTTGGCAGAGCGCCGGGTTGTTGGCCGCTGACGTCGCGCGCAAGGAACGAGCCGGGGTCACGTGCACGACGATGATTGTCAGAATCGGAGTGTTTATTCAGACTGCAGGAATCCGATGAGCTACGAAAGCTCTTTTCACAGATGTCCGGTAGGGGCGGGCAAGAGCGTTGCAGTAACAAACAATTACAGAAACATGATAAGAGTGCAAAATACAAGAAAGGTAAACAAATCACCCAATAAGTAATATTTTTTTTTTAAATTTAAACACGCTTTAATGAAATGTACCGTACTAGTAATGGAAGAACTCCACGACTCCAGGACGTGGCCCCGAAGCTTGCCACAACATAAGGGACCGTGGTGATTTACAGCCAACGTCAGTTGAGCGTGGACAATTAGAACCGAAGGCGAAACATAACATATACATTTTTTAAATAAATATTTGTATTATTTTTTATGATAGAATATAGTATTGTCATCAGTATGACATAAGTATACCAAGTTTGCAGTCAATACCACATTGGGAAGTGGGTTAAAATTGAGTTACAAGATTTGAGGCTACGACAACAACGACAGAGTGAGTTAATAGAAAGCGTGTAAAAACAACATCTGGAAGGACAGATAAGACTAGACGGACGAGCGAATGGATTGATACACGGACGAGAGGGATGGACTGATAGACTTCGGGATGAACAAACGGAAGAAAAGACCAACGGACAAACAGCTGGAAGGATTCACAGACGAAGCAACGGACGGACATGTCGACAGATGAACGGATGGACAAATGAACAGACAAACCAACAGGTGAACAGACGGAAAGACGAACGGACGGACAGAGGGGAGGGAGGTGGATGATGGCTGAGCGTACCATTCGAGCTGTTTTGGAGCCTCCACGGGCTGCCCGTCCACCTCCAGGCCCACCAGCTCGCTGAAGAACTTGCTCTTGAGGCAGCGGAGAAGCTCATCGGCGTGGCTGCAAGGCAATGGGCGGCACGAGTCAACAATTGACCACGCGGAAATGAGTAGCTTTAACTCCACGCGCCGCCAGCATCTTCAGGAACACCGAATCAAGCCATTTCGAATCCTCAAAGAAGCTCGCAGCCAGTATGCGGAGCAAAACATCCCGACGTCATTCCGAAACACTGCGCGGTATGACCCTATGAACTATATTTATTTCACAAGGTAATGGCCCACCGAGCTATACAGCTCTTTTTCAGGAGCGACCTGGCCACAAATGATAGCTCAACAAAGTGGCTTGTCACGTGGAAAATGTATCGCGGCAAAATACTCTAAATGCAACGTTGATTCTAAATGAAGCAAGGGAAACCGGAGGACTGGAAGAAAAATACACATGGCCACAGGGAGAACACGCAAGCTCCAGATATACAGCAGGTGTCAGGGTCGGGGTCGAACCCACAACCTCCTGGATACCAGGCGAGGTAGTTAACATCGCGCCCTGGAAACACATCGGGGAGCCTTGCGAGCAAACGGGTCGCGCTAGAGCTCGCAATGATTCGCCAAATCGCGACGGGAGCCGAATCGATGCGCCCCTCCTTACCTCTTGTATCCCGTGATGCGGAACGTGGCGGGCAGCGGCTCTCGAAGGGCCTCCATGAAGGCGCTCCACTCGGCCTCGGGCACGATGGCCTGCTCCTGGTAGTACGACTCAAACTGCTTGTTCTCCTTCACAATCTCTGCGTAACCGGCTCCCCAGCCACCCTGCCGGGTCGACGGAAGGCAGACACACACACGCGCACAAAGGCATGAAAAAATAGGAATAGGCTTTACCCTTTCTGGCACTAAAACAGGCGTTAAGATGTTCACAAATAGACACCGATTGCAAAGCATGAAGTTTGCATTAACCTCACATACTTGCGGCAAAACATGCTAACATGCTCTGATAATATCTGCATTTTATACTCTTGGTTCTTTCGGTAAAGTCACGTAGGTAAAGAAAATAAAAAATTATAAAATAAAATAAAAGATTAAAAAAACTGCATTAAATCACGACGTTTCAACACAAGCAATCATCATCGGGTGTGAAAATCACAACATGTGAACAGATGAACGGACGGACAGACGAACGGACGGACAGAGGGGATTGGCCTACACAAGAGACAGCCTTCTTTATTGCCGTGTCTAGCCAGTGTTAGACCAGTGAAGAATGCCAAAAGGCGAAGACCACAAAGACTTTGGCAAATATCAAAAGTAAGAACCACTTGGGTTGAGCAGTTATATCTATGTGACCTTTTCTGCCAGTGCCACAATTATGAAAAAATAAGAAAAGGCTTGAACCTTTCCTACAATGAGACAGGTGCTAAGATACTCTTAGTTTTTTCGGTAAAGTCACGTAGGTAAAAAAATGAAATAAAATTTTTATTTTATTTTTATTAATTTTAATTTCATTTTTTACCTACGTGACTTTACCGAAAAAACTAAGAGTATCAATCCTTGCAGTCACGAAAGCTTCAAATCTAGGTGCTAAGATGTTCAAACACTAAATATAAACCTATTGCAAGCCATCAAATCTGCACGAGCCGCACATACCTGCGGCAAAACATGCCAACACACGTGCGCTCCGATTGTGATATTGCCAAAAAAGAACCCATATAGGCACAAAGTCAGCAAACCTACACCCCCCCCCTTCCACTGTCCAACAAAGTAGCGCTGAGATCCGTGGATGGGAATCAAACTCAGATCTTCACGCCTGGTATGCAGGAGGATCCGTGGGTTCGATCCCGACGCTGACGCCTGCCGCCTCTCTCCCCGTGATCAAGCACGTTTTTCTCCGGGTCCTCCGGTTTTTCCTTCCACATTTAGTAACATAGGTCTGGAGTATTTGGCGACCTAGATTTGAAGCTTTCGTGACTGCAAGGATTCATACTCTTAGTTTTTTCGGTAAAGTCACGTAGGTAAAAAATGAAATTTAAATTAATAAAAATAATTTAATAATTAAAAATCACATTTCGGAGGCAACACAAGCTCGATTGCTTGATGCAGCAAATCTGGCTGTGACGGTCCCACCTGATGACGGAGACTTGTGTTGCCTCCGAAACGTCGTGATTTTTTACTATTTTATTTTTAAATCCTTTATATTAAGTTCGCTTGCTTGCTTACGACCGTGCAAATCTTTCGGTCGTTTTTTACCCCACTTCCCGTGATCCAATCGAGCTGACATTTTGCACACAGACTCGTTGTGCCAGACAATTAATGTTCGTGAAAAAAAATTCCCAAAATTTTACACTTTGTATGCAAAAAAAAATATTTTACATATATTCAAATAGAACTCATTCATCGCTTTGGCTGAACGTCACAGTATAAGAGCCCAGAGCGTAACCCCTCCACAGGCCGTGGCGGAGTAGCGCAGTTGGTAGCGCCCTCGCTTCCCATGCCAAAGGTCGCGGGATCGATCCCCGCGTCCTCCACAGGCGAATCTATTTTTAAATCCTTTATATTAAGTTCGCTGCCACGCATATAAAGGATTTATAGTGAAAAACTTTGTTTTTACGGGTTATACTTATTATTAATTTTAATTTCATTTTTTACCTACGTGACTTTACCGAAAAAACTTGACTTTACCGAAAAAACTAAGAGTATTTGGCAACCGCCATACATTGCCACGCGACGATCAGCCACTTCGTTGAGCGGTCATTTGTGGCCAGGTCGCGTCTGAAAAAGAGCCATATTGCTCAGTGGGCCTCACCGAGCAAAATAAAAATGAGTTTTTTTCAAGTGGCCCTAAGCACTCCGCCACCGATCCACCCTTCTGAGCCAGAAAAAAAAGTTCCCACTATTTATTGCATTGGGGTCGTTTAGTCGGGGTTTTTCTTTCTCCACCAGCTTCCGTTCTCTGCGTCTTTCTCTGGTCAATCGCACGGTCCTCACATCTCGTGCCACCGCATCCTCCCATATTACCGGCCCTCTGCTGCTACTGCCCTGCGTCGGAGGCATCTTGTTGGCGCTTTAAAATTCACGTGGTTTTTTTTTTGGGTTCGAACGCGCAAATATAAAATGCGTCGTTAAACCTGCCGCCACACCACCACCCGACACGGCCAATTAGTAAGGTTTTTCTACCTACGTGACTTTACCGAAAGAACCAATGAGTATAGTAATTCCTGCAGTCACGAAAACTTCAAAGCTAGATTAAAACGTGTCAATTAGTCACTGCCGCAGCACAACCGGTGTGTTGGAGAGTAAACCCACAACATTTACAATTTGAGTATCATATTCTTGGTTCTTTCGGTTAAAGTCACGTAGAAGGGAAATAATAAAATATAAATATAAAACAATACAAATTCTCACGTTTCGACTGCAACACAAGCAATCATCATCAGATGTGAAATCCACACTTTTTTCAAATTTTCTTGCTGTGGATTTCACACCCGATGATGATTGCTTGTGTTGCAGTCGAAACGTCGTGAGAATTTTTATTGTTTTATATTAATATTATTTTATTATTTCCCTTCTACGTGACTTTACCGAAAGAACCAAGAAAATGAATCCCTGCAGTCACGAAAGCTTTAAATCACAATTCGAGTATCGTGACGTTTCGCTGGTGATTGCAAACCAGCATCATCAGGTCGATGAGCCAGAATTGTGCACAAATCTTCCCGTTTACATCGAACAGGATCGAAGACCAGAGGGGGGTGAATGAGGTCATATGGATTCTAGATTTGAAGCTTTCGTGACTGCAAGGATTCATATTCTTAGGTGCTTTTTCGGTAAAGTCACGTAGGTAAAAAAATTTAATTAATAAAAGTAAAATAAAAAATTAAATAAAAATCACGACGTTTCGGAGGCAACACAAGCTTCCGTCTTCAGGTGGAACCGTCACAGCACGATAGCTGTATCAAGTGGATTGTTAATCTTGAGAATATGTTGGTGGAGTTAGTCGCAGTTAATCAACAAACAGCGTCATGTTTTTGTATTTAGATCGTTGTCCTTCCCCGCACCTCCGAATTGGCCAAAGTAGAAGAATTACATCCACAAATTATTTATATTTGGGGAAAAACACAGCAATCATCCCATCCCCTACTGTGAAAACTTGACTCTGCTGAAAAATAATCTTGAGACTCAATGAGGCTTTCCTGAGTAAATCAGCGGAATTATAATCATCAGTCAACTGAGCACTGAGTATATATCGCTGCTCATCTCCCGCTTACAGCGCTGCAAAGCTATCGGTGGAAATTCCACATTACTATGGCCGGGTGAGTCTCCCCACGGCACGACCCTACGAATGTGAGACCCAGGCGTGATCAACTTGTGGCTCAGCAAGACCCCCTGGCTCCTGGCGTGAGCAACTTGTGGCTCAGCAAGACCCCCCTGGCTCCTGGCGTGATCAACTTGTGGCTCAGCAAGACCCCCCTGGCTCCTGGCGTGAGCAACTTGTGGCTCAGCAAGACCCCCCTGGCTCCTGGCGTGAGCAACTTGTGGCTCAGCAAGACCCCCCTGGCTCCTGGCGTGAGCAACTTGTGGCTCAGCAAGACCCCCTGGCTCCTGGCGTGAGCAACTTGTGGCTCAGCAAGACCCCCCTGGCTCCTGGCGTGAGCAACTTGTGGCTCAGCAAGACCCCCCTGGCCTGGCTCCTGGCGTGAGCAACTTGTGGCTCAGCAAGCCCCCTGGCTCCTGGCGTGAGCAACTTGTGGCTCAGCAAGACCCCCTGGCTCCTGGCGTGAGCAACTTGTGGCTCAGCAAGACCCCCCTGGCTCCTGGCGTGAGCAACTTGTGGCTCAGCAAGACCCCCTGGCTCCTGGCGTGAGCAACTTGTGGCTCAGCAAGACCCCCTGGCTCCTGGCGTGAGCAACTTCTGAAGGCAACACATGCAACACCATTGCTTGCTAGAGCCACGCTGCTGCCGAGTTGGGAACATTTTTATACTTTTTTTGCCGCCATCTTACGTAGGGAGACCCGCCGCCCCGGGTCACTGTGGGAACCGCACCACGTGACGTCCCCCCTCCCCCCCCCATTCGTTAACACGGCCACGTGTCTCCACCCGTACACCCCTAACCAAGATGGCGGCGAAAACCCCCCCCACCCACCCACAACGTTCTAAATGACGTCACCGCACACGCATGCTATACTGTAACTGTATTTAAAATAATAATAATGAAAAATAACCATCGACCACTCAACTCTTTCGCCTCCGTCTCCTCCATCTCGCCTCTCCGCCGCGGGCTTTTTCATCCCGGGTCTCTTCCTGCGCGTCATGGTGACGGACCGGCACTGGACGACTGCGGGCGACGCGAGCTGGAGACTCGAGGCGAATTCGCGTCTCGTCCAAACGCCGCCTCCACCACCTCCTCCACCTCGTGCGAGCACGCGGACCCAGAGGCGCAGCAGCGGCGTTTGCATTGCCCCCCCCACACCCCTTCCGGCCCCCACCCCTTCCGCCTCTCCCCCCCCACACCCCCTCCTCCTCTCCCCCCCCACACCCCTTCCGGCCCCCACCCCTCAGGCCTCTCACCCCCCACACCCCCCTCCTCCTCTCCCCCCCCACACCCCTTCCGCCTCTCCCCCCCCCACACCTCTACCGGCCCCCACCCCTTCCGCCTCTCCCCCCCCACACCCCCTCCTCCTCTCCCCCCCCACACCCCTTCCGGCCCCCACCCCTCAGGCCTCTCACCCCCCACACCCCCCTCCTCCTCTCCCCCCCACACCCTTTCCGGCCCCCACCCCTCAGGCCTCTCCCCCCCCCACACCCCCTCCTCCTCCCCCCCTACTCCTCTCCCCCCCCCACACCCCCTCCTCCTCTCCCCCCCACACCCCTTCCGGCCCCCACCCCTCAGGCCTCTCCCCCCCCACACCCCCTCCTCCTCTCCCCCCCACACCCTTTCCGGCCCCCACCCCTTCCGCCTCTCCCCCCCCACACCCCCTCCTCCTCTCCCCCCCCCACACCCCTTCCGGCCCCCACCCCTTCCGCCTCTCCCCCCCCACACCCCCTCCTCCTCTCCCCCCCCACACCCACCCCCTCTCCCACATTCCCCCTCTCTCCCACCAACCCCTCTACCCCCCCCCCACCCCTCCAAAGGCCCCGCCCCTTGTCCGGCTGGAGACGCGTACCCATTGGTCCGAGGTCACGCGCGTGCGACGGCGGGTCTGGCCAATGAGCGGGTCGGGATTACCAGCCCCTCCCCGCCCTCCTCCTTTGCGTGCTGCGAAATGCAGACGGGGGGCGGGGGGCTCCCACCCACGTGGTTCCCATTTACTGTCGTGGGGGAGGGGAGGGGTGGTAGCGGTAGGGGGAGGGGAGGGTGAGGGTAGACGTGGGAGAGGAGGGGTATAGAGGGGGTAGAGGGGGTGGGAGGAGGTAGAGGGGGATGGGAGGGTAGAGGAGGGTGGTAGGAGGGTGGGGGTGGGGGGTAGAGGGGGGTGGGGGGTAGAGGGGGTGGGGGTAGAGGGGGGTGGGGGGGTAGAGGGGGTGGGAGTAGAGGGGGTGGGGGTAGAGGGGGGTGGGGGGTAGAGGGGGTGGGGGTAGAGGGGGGTGGGGGTAGAGGGGGGTGGGGGGGTAGAGGGGGTGGGGGTAGAGGGGGGTGGGGGGGGGTAGAGGGGGGTGGGGGGTAGAGGGGTGGGGGTAGAGGGTGGGGGGGGGGTAGAGGGGGTGTGGGGGGGGGGTAGAGGGGGGTGGGGGGGGTAGAGGGGGGTGGGGGGGTAGAGGGGGTGTGGGGGGGGTAGAGGGGGTGGGGGGTAGAGGGGGGTAGAGGGGGGTGGGGGGTAGAGGGGGTGGGGGTAGAGGTGGGGGGGGGGTAGAGGGGGGTGGGGGGGGGTAGAGGGGGATGGGGGGGTAGAGGGGGTGGGGGGGGGTAGAGGGGGATGGGGGGGCCCCAACTAAAAATGACGTCAGTACGTAACTGCTATGATGTCATCACTGGGAACCACTCCATTCAGAATCTGAATATTTATCCTGGAGGAATCCGATGAGCGACAAAGCTCTTTTCCACAGCTGTCCAGTAGGGGGCGGGTCAGTAAAGTCGCAATAACAAAGATAGGAAAGAATTCAAAGTACAGGATCGGAAAGGCAAAGCAAGACCCCTCGCCAAACCTACGCATTTCACAAGTAGTACTAATCGCATATCTGCATTTCCCATAAATATGCTACATTCCTATTGATATGCAAATTATTTTGTCAAGGCGCTCTTCCCCCCTCCATCCCAGCTTAAATAGTCGCTCCAAGCCTGGAGTGTGTCATTCAGACTCTGTCTTCTCGACAGACCTGTTCTCCACCTGAAGACGGCTGCTTGCGTTGTGGCCGAAACGTCGTGAGAATTATTTTATTATGTTTTATTTTTATTATTTTATTACTTCCCTTCTACGTGACTTTACCGAAAGAACCAAGAAGATGAATCCCTGCAGTCACGAAAGCTTTAAATCGAAATTCAAATCACTATAAATATATATTTGCGAACTAAATACATTAGTCAATGTACAGGGTGGTCCAGATGTCTTCTTACCCCCCCCCCCCCACCAATGAATTTACCCCTAAGATTTGTTCTCCCCTTTGCGAATTCATTTGTTTTCACACCCAGTAGCATACAAAAAATATGAAGCTTCAGATAATTCAATGGGGGGGGGGGGGGGGGTCACAAGACATCTGGAGCACCCTATATAATTAATTGATGACGTTTCGGGCAATTGCCCTTCTTCATAACACACAGGCCAGTACGGTAATAGAGAGATAGAGTGGGGCCGGATGAGAATTTTAAACAATGTAAGTGCTTAATAATTGTTTTTTTACCCTTCTATCTGGCAACAAAACTGACACCTTTTTTTAGAAGGAGTTTTTTGTTTGCATTATGGCTGCAGGTATTGTGGTCTATGCAAACATGACTCCTTGTAAAAAAAGGTGTCAGTTTTGTTGCCAGATAGAAGGGTAAAAAAACAATTATCATATTTTTTACTGGCAAATGAGGTTCCAATGAATGTAAGTGCTTCTTGATGACCAGTGGTTACATCTGTATAGACGAACAATTTACACTCGAAGAAGCTCATTATCTGCGTGCGGCCGTGCCGGTGACGTCACTGGTGCGAAATCCAGTGACGTTTCAACAGCTGCATTGGACCCATTGATTCACATCGTGATCTATAGAATACATGGAGACCCATTGATTCGCACAGAGATCCATAGACTTACATGGAGATCCATTGAATCACATCGTGATAAATAGACTCATATGGAGAGCCATTGATTTACATAGAGATCCATAGACTTACATGGAGACCCATTGATTCACATCGTGATCCATAGGCTTACATGGAGATCCATTGAATCACATCGTGATAAATAGACTTATATGGAGAGCCATTGATTTACATAGAGATCCATAGACTTACATGTAGACCCATTGATTCGCACAGATATCCATAGACTTACATGGAGACCCATTGATTGACATCGTGATCCATAGACTTACATGGAGACCCATTGATTCGCACAGAGATCCATAGACGTATATGGAGAGCCATTGATTTACATAGAGATCCCTAGACTTACATGGAGACCCATTGATTCGCACAGAGATCCATAGACTTACATGGAGACCCATTGATTTACATAGAGATCCATAGACTTACATGGAGACCCATTGATTCACACACGGATCCATAGACTCACATGGAGACCCATTGATTCACACACGGATCCATACTTACATGGACACTCATAGATTTACATAGAGAGCCAAAGACTTACGTGGAGACCCATTGATTCATATAGAGACAAATATATTTACATTACAATGTTGATGTTTTTTGTCTTTGTTTTGCTGTTGATGTACTCAGCCACCACGTACCCCCCGTGTAAAATAGCCGGGAAACTGAACGGAATAATCCGTGTGGCAAATCAAAACACATTGTCCTGCGGAGGGAGCTAGTAGGAACTTTGGGTTGCTCGGTCAATGGCCAGGCGTGAGTAGGTTAAACGTTGAGTTTTATAAGGGCACCACGGGGTGACCAGCCCCTCCCCAGCCAGCCCCACCCCTCCCACCCCCCACCCAGCCCCACCCTTCCCACCCAGCCCCTCCCCACCCAGCCCCTCCCCACCCTCTCCACCTAGCCCCACCCCTCCCATTTTTGGATGCACGACGGACGGACGGACACAATAATCCCCTGTGGGCTGGGGGAACCAGGTGGTTCCTACCAGTATGAACTTAAACTTACATAGAAACCCGTAGACTCACGTAGAGATGCGTATACTAACAGAGACCCACAGACTTGCAGATACATCTATAGACCGTACTGAGACCCAAAGACTCACTCAGAGAGAACCATGGAATGTACTGATTGAGACCCAAAGACTCACTCAGAGAGAACCATGGAATGTACTGATTGAGACCCAAAGACTCTCTCAGAGAGATCCATGGAATGTTCTAATTGAGACCCGAAGACTCACTCAGAGAGATCCATGGAATGTACTAATTGAGACCCGAAGACTCACACAGAGAGAACCATGGAATGTACTGATTGAGACCCGAAGACTCACACAGAGAGAACCATGGAATGTACTGATTGAGACCCGAAGACTCACACAGAGAGAACCATGGAATGTACTGATTGAGACCCAAAGACTCACTCAGAGAGAACCATGGAATGTACTGACTGAGACCCAAAGACTCACTCAGAGAGAACCATGGAATGTACTGAGACCCAAAGCCTCACACACAGAGATCCATGGAATGTACTGATTGAGACCCAAAGACTCACACAGAGAGATCCATAGACTGGCATAGCCTTACATGGAGAGCCATTGATCGACATCGTGATCCATAGACTTACATGGAGAGCCATTGATTTACATAGAGATCCATAGACTTACATGGAGACCCATTGATTCGCACAGAGATCCATAGAATTACATGGAGACCCATTGAATCACATTGTGATAAATAGACTTATATGGAGAGCCATTGATTTACATAGAGATCCATAGACTTACATGGAGACCCATTGATTCGCACAGAGATCCATCGACTTACATGGAGACCCATTGATTCGCACAGAGATTAATAGACTTATATGGAGATCCATTGAATCACATCGTGATAAATAGACGTATATGGAGAGCCATTGATTTACATAGAGATCCATAGACGTACATGGAGACCCATTGATTTACACACGGATCCATAGACTTACATGGAGACCCATTGATTCGCACAGAGATTAATAGACTTATATGGAGATCCATTGAATCACATCGTGATAAATAGACGTATATGGAGAGCCATTGATTTACATAGAGATCCATAGACGTACATGGAGACCCATTGATTTACACACGGATCCATAGACTTACATGGAGACCCATTGATTCACACACGGATCCATACTTACATGGACACTCATAGATTTACATAGAGAGCCAAAGACTTACGTGGAGACCCATTGATT